AAGGCTTCTGTCCATGCAAGACCCCGAAGCGGCGAGCGAAAATCAGGGAAAGCTGAACTGGGTAGCACCTAAACGGGGTAACGCGCTCACCATCGTATCCAGACGGAGAAACTGCAACGGCTGAAACAACAAACTGCATGGCAGTTGTTCTGCAACGCGAAAAATCTGCACTGCATTTGTTCTGCAACTAAACGCGGGAAAACTGCAAACAAGCCCCACAGACTGGATAACAGAGGCCCAAAACAAAAAGTTGCAGTGCAGCAGCCGAAAAGTTTCAACGCAGACAACATGTGGCAGGTGCTGCATTGAACGCGAAAGCCGAACAAAAACTGCACTGCAACAAAGTGTGCGTTTGTTGCCTGGAACCGGCCACTTCCTGCTACCCCGTCTGCTGTTACCCCGTCTCCGCTTCCCTGAGAAGAACGAAGTGAATTTCACGTGGATGTCTTGTAGTCTTCATTCCTGGCCCAATAGAAACCGCTCGAAATTCACTTCGAAATCCGGAAAGACATTCTACAGGACAATCCGGGCCCATCCCACTGTTTTCCGAACGAAGTCAGCTCTGCGATGTCGGCGCCATGACCCCTTGGGCCCGCACCAAATGTCACTCTGGCGAAAAGTCACGCTTGCGTGCACCCGATGCTCAGGATCCGCCCACCAGGGAGGGCGCGCCGGAGCCACGGGACATCGTGGCAGACTTCCTGCCAGCCATGAGGCACGCAACACGCTGTGGGGGGGCCGAAGGGCACCGCGACAAAAGGCACAGCGGCACGTCTGCAGATCTGGTGCGGACTTGCCGTGGCTCCCGGAGTCGTCCAGGGGTCCCCGGAGTCCTCCAGGGGCTCCGAGTGAGGGCTGCCAAGGGCGTCCCGAAGATATCCAAGGCCTCCCGCCTCCACGGCCCGCTCTTGCGCTGCACGGCCCTGCGCAGTCAAACGCCGCCGCGTCCGCTGCTGCAGAGGCGAGTCTCGAACCAGGCGACCAGGCCCGGCACACACGCGAAAGCGCAGCACGGCACGACAGCCCCCCCCCCCCCGAATCCCCCCTGCTTCTCGGGTCGGACGACGGGGGGGGAAGGCAAAAGGGAAGTTCGCGAATCAACTCGCCAGCTTTGAAGGGGCCTAAGGACACACAAATAAACACACACACACACACGAATAACAGGAGCCCCCATATTCTTCCACATTGGTTTGATGGTTGTCTTCCCCCACACTTCCCATATCTTCTTGCTTTTTCTAGGAAATCGGCCATTCATTGTGTCTGGGTTTCTTCCCCTCCGGAAGCTCTCCTGGCGCCTCCCGGCGCCAGAGGCGCCCTTCGTCGCCTCCAGGAGAGGAGCGCCCGGCCTCTCGCCCGACTCGACCAGCTCCTGCCAACGCGCTCGGCGCGAGGGGGGGGGCCGCCCGAATTGCCCAGCGGAGGCGGGCGGAGCGACGGGCAACACCTGCGGCAGAAGTCCTCCGCGGGCGCCTCGGGCGGCGCGTGGCCGACCTCGGGCGGCGGCGGGGGGAAGAGGAAGAGCAGGAGGAGGAGGGGCGGAGGAGGAGGAGGACGAGGAGGAGGACGAGGAGGGAGGAGGAGGAGGAGGAGGAGGAGGAGGAGGAGCAGCAGGAGAAGGAGGAGCAGGAGGAGGAGGGGGAGGAGGAGGAGGAGGAGGGACGAGGAAGGAGGAGGAGGGGGAGGAGGCGGGAGGAGCAGCAGCAGCAGGAGGAGCAGGAGGGGGAGGAGGAGATGGCGGAGGAGGAGGAGGAAGAGGAGGAAGAGGACGAGGGGAGGACGGAAGAGGAGGAGGAGGAGGAGGAGGAGGGGGAGGGGGCCACGAGGAGTGGCGATGGCGAGAGGGGCGCGCATTGTGGGGGGGAGGGGGGGGGGGGGGGGCAGCCCCGCACGCGAGGCATCAGGCCGAGTGAGGGTGACATCTTTTTGGGAGAGGCGCGTGGCTCGGGCTGGGGCGTTCGAGCCTTTGCTCCGCCCCTGGACAGTTCGCGAGCCGAAAACATAGCCGGCTTTGTTCTGCCATCGCACAGACCACGGCTTCTGGCAGCAGAACCCATGCCACGAGGATGAGGAGCAGGAGGAGAGCGGAGGAGGAGGAGGAGGAGGAGGAGGAGGACGAGGAGGAGGAGAGGAGGAGGAGGAGGAGGAGGAGGAGGAGGAGGAAGGGAGGGAGGGGGGGAGGGAGGGGAGGGAGGGAGGGAGGGAGCCAGGCTCGCTCCTGCGTCTGCGCACGTCTGCGTGCAGCAGGCGAGGCTCTCCGTGGCCACGCCCTCGAAGTCTGGACATCGAGGCGCAGCAGTCGCGGCCGAGGAGCCCCCACACTGCGAAGCTGTGGCTGGGGCGGCTGGCCACAGCAGCGATGGCTCGCAGTGGCGGTGGCTCAAGTCGTTGTGGATCGTGGGTGTCTTGAGGTCAATTCCAGGACGTCAAGTGGCGCTCCACTGGGCTCGGCCCCCCCACATCACTGAAACGTCACTCGTTGACCCCTGGTGGAAACAAGGGTTTGATCTCGGGCAGCTGTGTTTCATGTTGATCGGTGGAGCTCCCTATCTGGCCCCGAAGCGTGTGAGAGGTGTGCCAAAATGGGCGCGCTGGGCGCATGCAAACGAAGCCACTGGGACCGTCGGTGGGGAACCATATGGGGCCACGAAGCGTGTGCGGGGTGTGCCAAAATAGGTGCGGTGGGTGCATGCGAACGCAGCCAGTGGGACCTTCGGTGGAGCTCCCTATGGGGCGACGAAACGTGTGAGGGGTGTGCCGAAACAGAGACGTGCGGAGGGCAGAGGCAAGGATGGGAGGAGGGAGGAGGGGGAGGAGGAAGGAAGGAGTGAGTGACGCAGGGCGCTGTCTCTTGAAAACGAGGACTCAGCACCACAGGATGGTTGGGACGAAGCAGCACACGCACTCGAGCGAAATCAAAGCACCAATCGCAAGACGCCTGAGCCACAACGCTCTCTCGCCCGTCTCGTTCTCCCTGTGCTCCTCCTCTCGCTCCTCCGCTCCACCTGCTGCTCCAACCTCGTCGCTCGCCCGCCGCCTGCTCGTCCCAGATACGCGGCGCTGCAGACGCAACGAAGCCGGACTGCTGCTCCTGGAGACTGGCCGGCAGCTGGCGCACGCGCCGCGGCAGGCGCGCGAGAGAAGCGCCGGACCTTCACGGGTCGATCGCCGTCGCAGCAGAAGATGGCCGTGCAGGTGCTGCCCTGAGCGGCTCCCGGGGTCGGGGCGGAATCAGCCGGGAAGGCGGGTCGAGGTGAGGTGATACAGGGCAGGTATTAATACATAGGATGTTTAGAAATATCGGATTGTTTAGTACATGATCCATGTAGGAGTACATGTATGCACGAACTCATCGTTGTTTTTAATGCTAGGTCCCTGCATGTTTAATACATGATCCGCACGCGGAGCATGTATTAAAAACGGCAATGTAGATGTAGCGACCTGTCCTCGGCATCCGAGGGGAGCCATCGTCCAAGCGCTGGCCTGCGAAAGGCGCATCTCGTGGGACGAAGGCCGCGGGGACGGAGATCTGAGGCCCGGCCCTTGCGTGAGCACCAAAGACTAATTGAGAGCGACGACTCGGAGCAGTGGCAGGACGTGAGTGGAAATGGGAGGAAACGAAGCGGAGGGAAAAAGGGAATGGATGGAACGTAGAAGATGAATGGAATGGAAACGAAATGGAAATGGGAGGAAAAGAGAAACGAAATGGAGCGGAATGGAGTGCACCTGGATGGGGAGGCCTGGGGAGTGCATGGAGCATGGACAGGGAGGCAAGGGAGCGGGGAAGCACGTGGGTGGACGAGGATCCATGGGGAGGGGGAAGCGGAGGCTCAACTTAATCCTATCTTAAGACACGCAGAGACATAATAGTACTACATGTCCTCCTTGGAGCGCGCGTCCGACACGAACATATAGTATACCAATATTGTGGTATATCGCTTCCCGAGCGGTGTGACCAGAAAGCGCCCGCCACGAAGCATCTACTCCAAGATTTCTCGGTGCGCGCGTCGCCCCTGGGGGGGCGACGCACACATAGTATTGGTATAATGGGGTGACGCCGACGTCTCGCCTCTGTGGGATATGGGCCCTCAGCTTAACTCTCCAAGAGGGGAGAGGAATGAAAGGGGCCCGCCAGGCAGTGCACCCCGTGTATGGCTGGAAGCAAGCATCATACCTTTGGACAGTCATCACGCCTGCTCGTTAGTGGAGGGCGACAGTACTAGTTCAACCAGCATTCTGACTAATCCACCGACCCTGCAAGCGTGTGTGAGGGGAGTCCAGGGGGGGTCGCCCAGGGGCGGTCCTGGGAAACGCTTTTCCGTTCAAAGCTATCCCACCCTTTCCCTGCGGCCACGTGGGGCTCTGCAAGCTCGCCAGCGCGAGGTGAATCGGTCCAGGCCATGATCGAATCGACAGAAATCCCTTCCCTTCCACTCTGACACCTGATCCCTTCCTTGCGGGGGGCGGTCCGAACGGGAATGTCCTGGGGGGTGTTCCGAGGGGGGTCCCGGGTGTTGGGGCACAGCAACTTTACGACCAAATGTGATATGTTGCCACCTATATGGGCTTTCTCGGAACGTCACTTTAGAACTGAAAAGGCCACTTCACAAGCAGGAAAGCAAAATCGTATCAGCCACCTTCCCTATCATTCGAAAATCTCGGGGGCACATCGGTAAGGATCGCACTTTGTTATCTGAAGCGTGTTGATCTCACGGACGGCGATGGTGCTAGGTGTCAAACTGAAAGGTAAACTAGGGTGCAAAACCCTGATGTATAACTGAATGCAGACTGACTTGTTGTACTACGCGTCTAAGCTAGAGGCAGCAGGAAGAGGAACAGCAGAAGGATAACAGACCGGAGGTCTGTACGTGTGTATTGTCATGGGAGGCCCGCGGGCCCGACACCTGCAGCAGCGCGAAGAACTGCACTACAATAACGCTACACAAAAAGAAGTCTCCGCTGCCTTCCAGCTGCGACGGTCTTCTACCGGTTCGAGCCAATCGGAATCTTATCGGGTGTCCAAGGGCCTGAGATCGTCCAAGGGCCGCTGGAGGGCACCCAAGGGCCTCTGCAAGGCGTCCAACGGGCCGTTGGAAGGCGGCCAAGGACGTCTGGACGCAGGGTCTCTGGAGATGGTCGAAGGGCCTCTTGAGATCCTCGACGGGCCTGAAGGGCCTCTAGAAATCGTCGAGGGGCCGATGGAGACCGCCCAAAGGCCTCGGAAGACCGTTCTAGGGCCTCTGGAGATCGTCCGAAGGCTTCTGAAGACCATTCGAAGGCCTCTGGAGACCGCAGACGGACGTCTGGACATCACCCAAGAGCAACTAGAGATTGTCCAAGGACCTCTGGAGGGCAGCAAAAAGGTGGTCCGCTGGGGGTACAGAACGCCTTCTCTTGGCTCAACGTGGTCATGGTTGCAAAACGGTCGGTAAACTTGCACAGAGGGCCCCACGTGGTTGTAAAGCAAGCGTTCTGGGCGCAACGAGCCTTACTCTCGAGGTCCAGTGAGGTCTTCGGGAGGAGGGTTAGGTCGGGCATGTCCTCCTGCAGACGGATCTTCGAAGGAAAAATGAAAAACCGCCAGAAACCATCTTCAAAAACAATCAAAAAAGATTCGAAAATCGTCCCCAGACGATCTGTTGACCATGCTGGAACATTCCTCCTGTGGAGGGACATGCCCGACTCGAGGGGAGGGAGACCAGGGCGGGGGGGGCGGGGGGGCACCTCCCCGCCCCCTCTTCCCTGGAGTGCCTGGGGCGAGCATGGCCACCTCTAGGCCACCTGGCCCCGCCAGAAGAAGCCCGCCTTGGAGGTCCCTCGCATCCCCTCCCCTTCCCTTCACTCCCCTCCCCTTCCCTTCTCCTTCCCTCCCTTCCCCTCCCCCTTCCCCTCCCCCTTCCCCTCCCCTTCCCTCCCCCTTCCCCTCCCCCTTCCTCTCCCCCTCCCCCTTTCCCCTCCCCCCCTCCCCTCCCCTCCCCTCCCCTCCCCTCCCGGGGGGCGGCCCCCGGGGCCAAAATCGGCTGACTCCCTCTCGAATCTTGTGTGGCCTTAGATTCCCCCCGCAGCGGTCGCAAGAGCGCCCAAGACGGCCTAAGAGCCCCCAAGAGAAGTACGAGGTAGCCGCAGAAGGCTCTCAAGAGGGGCCCAGGAGGACCCCCGAAAGCGCGCCACTGTCGCACCGCTGCAAGCCAACTCCTCCAACACGATCCAAAGAGCCCCAAGATGCCCAAACGAAGCCGAAAGAGGCTCCAAGACGCACCCAAGTGGACCAAGCAAGCCCCCAAGAAGACCCCCAAGATCCTAATAACTGAAAAGCATCTGGAACACAATCCAGGCGCAGTGGCGGGAAAGGCCGTTGACAATGAGATTTCCGTCATCGTATTACAGCCGCCACTGCCCCTTGCCCCCGTGCCCCTTCCCTCTTGCGCGCGCCCAAGCTGCTCACTTCTCAGGGTCAGCGGAACCGACCACAGGGCCTTGGCAATAGTTTTCTGGAAACGGTTGCGCAAGTTTCCAAGACCCGCCCCCCCCCCGCCCACGCTCAGCACACGCCACAAAACCGTTCCCCCCCTGGTATGGCTCAGTGGCGCCTTTTTCGACCTGCAGACGTCTCCAAGATGGCCAGAGACCGCCTTGGAAGGGCTGCAAGATACCCGAAGACCAGCCCAAGACGGGCCAATCTACCCCCAATGCTCCCCAGACGGAGGCGCCCAAAAAGGTTCCCCGAGAGACACCAGGACGCAAAAAGGACGGACATCACATGGAATCCCGAAAGTTTATAGACCGAAGGCTTTCCAGCTTCAGATCGGTCCAGGAAAGCTTCGGAGCGCCCCGAGAAGCTCCCAAACCTGCCCAAGATGTCCCAGGAAGGCATCAAAATTGTCCCATAACAGCTTGAGAATCCCTCGACATGGCCCAAGAAGGCCCGAAGACGGCCCCAAGACCCGCCCCGATCTCCTCTAGATGTGGTCAGCGGCCCTTTTTCGGGAGAGCCCAATAAAAAACATGCACCCAAAACGGCTCCGAGACCCACAACGAGCCCTCAAGCAGCCCCCAACGGGCCAGTAGAAGCACCACAGCCAGCACCAGAAGGCTCCTAAGGGGGCCCGGAGCCCCAAGAAGCCACCCAGGGAAGCGGGCGAGCACGAGGCTGTGGACAGGGAGGGGGTGGTAAGGCCCGCGCCAGTTCAGACAGGGCGCTGGGCTGGAACTAGTTTATGTGATGTGAATGATGTGGTGGCGATGGTGGTGGTGATGGTGGCGGAGGCGGTGATAGTGATGGTGGAGTGGGTGATGATGGTGATGGTGGTGATGTTAGCGATGGTAATGATGGTAATGATAGTGTGGTGATGATGACGACGGTGATGGCAATGACGACGGTGACGACGACAATGGTGATTATGGCGATGACGCTGATGATGATGATGCTGGTGATGAGTATGAGGATGAGGATGCAGATTATGTTGATGCTGATGGTGGTGATGGTGAATGTATTAATACTGGTAATGATGTTGGTGGTGGTGATGAAGACGAGACGACAATGACGATAACGGTGATGGCGGTAATGCCACAACTGATCACGATGATGGTGAGGAAGAGTAGAAGAACGAGGATCTGGGTGATGCTGATGGTGTGCCGTGCCCCGCCGCAGGCACACACACACACACACCTATGTGTTCTTTGTTTGTGGTCCATGGGTGCGGAGGCGAACGAAAAGCAGCAGCAGAGGCGGAGGGAAGAGGGGGATACTGGCTGACGAACGTCAACGGCCACGCTAGCACCATCCAAAGCACGAGGACACCGTGGTACCATAATGATGGTGATGCTTATGACGATGATGATGATGATGGTGGTGGTGATGATGCTGATGAAGATGAAGATGAAGATGAAGATGAAGATGAAGATGAAGATGAAGATGAAGATGAAGATGAAGATGAAGATGAAGATGAAGATGAAGATGATGATGCTGATGATGATGATGATGATGATGATGATGATGATGGTGGTGGTGGTGATGGTGGCGGTGATGATGCTGATGCCGTTGATGATGATGAGGGCAACGCTGATGGTAAATGATGAAGATGACAATGGCCATCATAATGGTGGTGATAAGATTGTTGTTGATGGTGATGATGAGGATGATGGTGAAGGCAATGCTGATGATGAATGAGTATGCTGATGATGATGACGTGGAAAATGACAA